GCTATTGCTATTATTATTATTATTATTATTATTATTATTATTATTATTATCGATCGCATGGGGCAAATATTTACACAAGAGCTTAACGAGACGACATACATACAATATAAATAAATGTGTGCGTATTTATAACGAACCGGGTGGTGGCATTTTTAAATAAACTGTTATTTACACGCGTCTATCTCTCTCTCTCTCTCTCTCTCTCTCATAATCTGGATTCATTACGCTGTGGGATTACTCGTTTATTTATTTATTTTCTAACGCCACGATGTTGTGTGCGATTACGTTCGAAAAAAAAAACCAAAAAAAAAAAGCGTAAACGAATTTATTTCGAGACGATGATGATTTCCCCTCCCCCTCTTTCTTCCCCTCTCAAACGCGTCATCATTCCGGGGTTTGAAAACGGGAGGAGGAGGAGGGGGGAGGAAGGAAGGGAGGGGAATGCGAAAAATTTCAAGGTCGATCTCAAGGTTAAATCACGACGCGATGAGTGAATATTCTCGTTTCGTGTGGTGTGTGTTTGTTTGTTTGTTACTCTATGTCAATTTGAGGCGGAGCGCGTTCAGGTATCGCAAAAACGGGACTTTACTTGTCGACGTACAAAAAAAAAAAAACCAAATAGTAGCGAAATTAATGTAAAAAAATTTTTTTTTTGCAAATTTATTTACGACGCAAAAATAAATTGTTGTTGTTGTTGTTTTGCATGTGACGACGACGATGTGTGTGTATTTCGTCGAAACGATTACTTTTTATAGCAAATGTACGTAGGTCTTTAATCGTGCTACTTATCGGCTTCACGCCAAAGCACGTATTAATAATAATAATAATAATAAAAAGAACGCAAATTGCGATTTCTATTCGATGCTATCATCATCATCATCATCATTATTGACTTATCTATTATTATTATTATTATTATTATTTTCTAATATGGAAACCGTTTTGAATGTGAGCCGAATTATATGGTGTTATAGTAGGATGAATGAGAGAAAGGGGACGAGGAGGAGGGGAATGGGAAGGTAAAATGGCGGATCCTTTTTTTTTTTTTTTTTTTTAAATTTTCAATCATGCTGGTATATATAATTGAATAATTTAAATTGACGTATGGAAGAAAGGAGTCAAGGTTTACAAAAGACGAAAGGTTTGAATGAATGAATGAATGAATGAAATATAAGTATAAGAAACGAATTCACATCGGATCGGCGGCCATTTTGTTTTTTTTTGTTTTCAAATTTTTCTTTTGTTGACTTTTTTTTTTTTTTTTTTTCGAAAAATATTTTTTATTTTTAGAATTTTGATCGTGATGATGAGTGTGATGATGATGATGGTGATGACGATAACACGATGACGGAGACATTGAATTAAATTTTTTTTATTGATTTAATTGGGGAGGCGAAAGAAAAGAATTTAAAAAAAAAAAATGTTGACGCCATATTGGTTGTATCTCTCTCTCTTTCTCTTCACGTTCTCTTACTTCGTCTCAACGATTTTTTTTTTTCGATTCGATTCGATTGTTTTGCGATTTTTTTTTTTTTTTTCATTTCTATTGTTTTTCATTATTATTATTATTATTATTGTTATCATTATTATCGTTGTAGTCGTCGAAATTTTGTTTGCGTTTCTCGAAGTGAATGAACTGAACGGAAGGAAAGTGAAAATCGGTTGTTGTTGTTGTTGTTGTTTGTCGTCGTCGTTGAGGCGGTCCGAAAAAGTAAAAACGAAAAAAAAATTTATTTTACGAAATGAATTATTAAAACGTTGCTAATTGTCTTAACTGAAAATTATTATTATTATTATTATCGTTATTATCATTATTAAAAACCGCATCACGTTAAAGTGTAATAATAATAATATGTGTGTCGCGTCTAGGCGCGTCACATGGAAGAAATAAAAACAACGATAATGATAATAATAATAAAAATAAAAATTTTTGTTTCGACGTGGCAGGAGGTAAATGTCGTTTCCAAATAATTTTTTTTTTTTATTTTTCAACGGCGAAGATTCACAGTCGCCGCCATTACGGTTCGATAGTAAAAAAAAAAATTAACGAGAAATTCTTCTTCTTCTTGTTTTTTCGAAGAGTCATCCTGCCACGACGCACGCGAGAATCGTGGGAAAAGTTTTTTCTTGTACGAATTCAACTTAGCTGACTGACGTAAATATCGACGTGGATGGAGAGAGAGAGAGAGAGAGAGAGGGGGAGGGGGCGGAGATGGGGAGCCTGGGAGGATGAAGTGGGACGAGGAGGAGGAGGAGGAGGAGGGGGGAGAAAAGGGAAAGTAGAAAAAAAATAAAGGACGAATTATGTAATTTTTTTTTCTTTAATCGGTATATGGATTTTGGACGCATATGGAAAATTCGAGTGAGAGAGAGAGAGAGAGAGACTGCTTGGAAAATTCGAAAGAGAGAGAGAGAGGGGAAACTTACAAATCGTGAAAGTTTTCGAATCGGAAAATTTTTTTTTTCATTATTCACGGCGTTGAAATTTTCTTTTTTCTTTCCCCCTCCTATCTTAAACGTTCTCTTTTAAAATCCTCCCAAAACTCTTTAATGAATCACTCTATTATAAAAATGAATAGGAATCCCTCGGTTGAGAAATAACGAACATAATAAGAGACATCTGGCATTCCCACGAGGAGAGAGAGAGAGAGAGAGAGTGAGAGAGAGGTAGAACACTAAGATTCGAAATAAATTTTTTTTTTTTTTTTTTTTTTTTTGGGGTAACGACGAATAACGAATATCCTTAAAAAAAGTCAGCTCTATCCCTTTTAAAAACAATCTTTTTTTTTTTCTCTCTCTCTCTCTCTACAAAAACGGCAGCCATATTTGTTTTCCCCAAAACGACGATGAAACGATTTGCAAAAAAAAAAAAAAAAAAAAAAATGGCGTCTCGATTTTATAAATTTTTTAAATTTAAATTTAATTATTTGTTATTTGAATCTCCTTGAACTTTCAGGTACGTGTAAAATGAGAGAGAGAGAGAGAGAGAATTTACCTTGTGACGAATGTTATGCATATACATATATGTATTATTTTAACGCGTTACGAAATGAGTCGTCGTCTGCTATACCCAAACTGTGTTATAGGGCGTTGTTGTTGTTTTTATTAAACTACTTATAAACAGTTTTTCGTGCGTGAGTGAGTGCGTGAGTACCTGACAAAACAAACGAGATTCGGTTTAAAAAAATTTATTTTTTCAAATTCGCGACGAGAATCGATAGTGGGGGCAGACAAAGGAGGGGGAACGAGGGGGGGAGGAAATTAAGGAGATTTGTCTTCATCTTCTTCTTCCGTTCGGACGGTGGATTTTAATTTTACGCATTAAAAATTATTATTATTATTATTATTTGTTGTTGTTACGCCAGGTTGCATACGTCATAACTAAAAATAGTGAGATGGAAGGTACCTTGAATTTAAAAAAAATTGACCGTGCGTGCGTGTACGAGTGCGTTAGTGCGTGTGGGTAGTAGTGCGACGTTGTTGTTGTTGTTGGTCACCTACGAAAAAAATTTCCTTCCTTCCACTCGCGGTCTTAATGATAAGGAGGAGGCGTTTTCTCTCTCTCTCTCCCCCTCTCTCTCTCTCTCTCCGTTTTCGACTTCCTGATAACGATAATTCACACGCGGAAATAATTATTGTTATTATTATTATTATTATCCTCCATTTTTCTTTCCATTCTCGTACCACGTTTCGGAAACGTTTATATTATTATTACTTTTTGGAATTTGTTCGTTTGTTTGAATTTTTGTTTGTTTGAGAGAGAGAGGGAGAGAGAAAGAGAAATTTCGCGTAAAGACAACAACAACAACAACCAGCAAAATAATTATTTTTGTTCTCTCCGTTTGTACCTACCTACCTACCTACCTCCTGTTTTTTTTTTTTTTTTTTTTTAAATTGACTTTATTAGGAAGATGTTTATTTTCCTCCCCTCCTCCCGTCCATTCATTTGTCCTTGTGAAAATTTATTAATTAGGTGAAAAGTCAGCGATTATGTTTGTTTGTTTGTTTGTTTGTTTGTTGAACGAAGTATTGGGATTTTCGTTTCAGGAAAAAAAAAAAAGAAGGAAAAAGCTTTTTTTTCTTTTTCTTTTTTTTTTTTTTTTTTTTTGCTTGCGATGAAAAACCCATATATTTTATTAATTGGCTGATTAATGTTTTTATCATCATCATCATCATCATCATCAACATCATCAGCGTTATAGATTGTCGTGTAAGCAGTTTTTTTTGGCGCGAAAAACGGATTTGGTTGGTTTTGTTTTTTTTTTTTTTTTTTTTTTAAATTTACTTACGCTGATGAGTAATTTTGAGAATTGAGAAGGAAAAAATACTTTGCAAAAATTATTTCGATGATGATGATAATGATAATGTGACGTGCATTGAGATGTGATGACGTCGAACTCCTGCCACGATTTTTTTTTAAAAATCCTAGTTTGCGTTTACGGTGTTTAAGTAAAAAGAAAGAAAGAGAGAGAGAGAGAGAGGGAGAAAACGTTTACGTTTCGTGTCATTATTTATATCGTTTTAATATATTATTATCATTATCATTATTATTATTATTATTATTATTATTATTATTACAAATTTAATTTCATGCGTTTCCTTCGAGGCGTGCCTTACATAATTTCACCGTACGGTTTTTTTCCTAACATCCTTAATTACAAATTGAGAAATGAGTAAAAAAAAAAAAAAAAAAAAAAAATTCACACATCGTTGATGATGAAAAATGAATGAAATTTTTATAAAATGGCGGTCGAGCTCGAGTTTTGTTGTTTTTCAAAGCAGAAAAAATTTATGAACCGTTCTATTGCCACGAAAATCTATTGCGTGTGTTCCGTTTTGTTTTTTGTACGCAATAGTATTAATTATTATTATTCTTTAACGGGCGTTTAGTTTTTTTTTTTTTTTTTTTTTTTTGGAAAAACGAAAAGAACGGGGAAGGGAAATTTTTTCCCTTTGGTAAAAAAAAAAAAAAATTCCCTTCCCGCCCTCACGTTATTCGAATGTGTCATATGTGCCTCTTAGGTTTTTCGAGAGCGAGATAGATGATTCGTTACGCCATATTTGAAAATACTTAATCTTATTATTATTATTATTATTTATTAATTTATTTTGTTTTTGTTTTTTCAGCTTCCCGTTCGGGTTCGAGCGGTACAAATAATCTACCTCCATTATTATTTCATCAAGTTCACGGTGACAACATAAGATTATCCGGTGATAATTCCGTTGCGAGGAGAGTAGAAAGTTTTTGCAGAGGAGTCGCGTTCAGTAGCCGTCCCGTCAAAGTCAACGAAAAGGTAAACAAATTTTTTTTTTTTTTTTTTTTTTTAAACGGTTGGTAGGAATGAATGGTTTTCGTCGGTCGTCGTGATAACTTTTTCGAGTGTCGTTGTTGTACTAATTGATATCCAGTCATTCATTCATTCATTCATTAACTCGTTCTTTAAGTGTAATAATTCACCACGGTTCCTTTCTTTTTCATTTTATGCTCCTTTCATTTTTTTTTTTTTAAATCGACGAACATTATGGAAACAAAAAAAAAAAAAATGTTCTCTCTCTCTCTTTCTCTTTATCTCTCTCTCTCTCGGTTGAGTTTTAAAAATCGTACGAATTAAAAACTCAGGTATATAACGTAATTTATTTTTTGAAGTAAAGGAAGAGAGGAAGTTTAACCTTAAAAAAAAAAAAAAAATATGCCATAACTTCCGGGAAGTGAAATATGATGCGGCATAATTTCCCCCTCCCTCCTTCCCCTCCCCCCAGGAAAAAAAATTTTTTTTATTTCGTCGGTCATTAACTCTTCGTCATCGTCGGTACCTTACAAGGTTTTCGCATACACGAAATGTTTATTTCGTGTTGTCGAATGTCGAAATATCTCTCTCTCTCTCTCTCTCTCTCTCTCCCTCTCTCTCTCTCCCTCTCTCGCTCTCGCTCGCTAATTACACGTCGATAAATTTTAAAAAAACGAAAGGTTTAGGATGGTGTAGGAATTTAATTACTCGTTTCGCGGCATTCGGATTTACAAAAAAAAAAATTTTTTTTTACAAATGATAACGATGAAGATGGTTACGGATGGTATGGGTGATGGGGGGATTGGGGGGGGGAATCGAAAAAGGTACGAGAAAGGTGTTAAAAGTTCTTTGGTGTCGGTTTTCGCGTCTCACGTGACCAATAAAAGTCAATTTTTCCCACGACGTCGCTTTGGAATATGAGATTCATTTTTTTTGTTGGAATCACCTTTTACGTTTGTTCGAATCACGTGACGTGTTGTCGTGTTCATGTTGTTTTCGTTTGTGCGACAAAAGAGTCGACAAATTTTGATTCTTTGTCGCCAAAACTTTGATTTTGATCAAATGATGACCCAAATGACGTCCATTCTTCTTCTTTTTCTTTCTCCTAGTTTCGGAGGTTTTGATTTATGATCTCATCGTAGCTAAAACAAAGAACAAATCGTACGTGAAGTAGAGAGAGAGAGGGGGGAGAGGAGTAAAGTGAGAGGAACATATCAACTTCCTCACGTTCGCAACTTCCTGTCTACGTGCGAATGTTTTTGTTCAACCGATCGAAATGAAAAAAAAAAAAATTAGGTCTTTCTCTTTCTCTTTCTCTTTCTCTCTCTCTCTCTCTCTCTCTCTCTCTCTCTCTCTCTCTCTCTCTCTCTTTCTCTCTCTTTTTTTCTTTCATTAACCAAAGTTATTTTTTTTTTTTTCAAACGCAAGAATTTGTGTGTTTTGTAAAAATGTTTTTTTTTGTGTTGTTATTATTTTCTCTAGTCTTTCTTTTCGTTTCAATAACCAGAAATTATTTTGGTCAGTTACGAAAAAGTTTTAAAAAACAAAAAAAACCGTTAAAAATCGAATGTTTTTGTCATTATTATTATTATTCTATGAATGAATATCGAATGAATAAATAAGGCAAAACGTCATCAATCAATGAATGTTTTTTTTAATAACTCGTCGCACGAGTGTGTGTGTATGAGACGGTATCGTGGCACCAACATTATAGATCATTTCCGGTTTTTTTTTTTTTTTTTTACTTTATTATTACTTTTCTCTTATTATTTTTTGTGTGTGTGTGTGTGTGTGTGTTTAATAAATAATGAAGTGAATTGTTTTAAAAGGAATTAAGTTTGTTTGTTCGAACGATGTTTTTGTTTGTTTGTTTTGATTTTTGTGATTCTGTTTTTTTTTTTACTCCCTATTTCCGTTTCCGATTCTTTTTTTTTTAAATGAAATTTTCGTCTGGTTGAAACGTCGAGAATCGTTTTAAAGGATGATATCCAATCGATCAATCGATCGATCGAACAGTTAAAACCGCAACGAATTTTTTTTTAATAGATGGCGGTGGCGGTGGTGGTGGTGGCAGAAGAAAATAAATGATGATGATGATGAGTAGAAAAAAGGAGGATTTGAGGTCGAGTTATTGCTTCTTCTCTTCCGTAAATTATTACCACACGGTTACACTTAAAACAAAAAAGAAGGATGAAATGTCACGGATATAAAACATTCGAAGAGAGTTTTGATGACGAACGTGACAAAACGTGACTACATGTATAATTTGAAATGAGAAGGAAAAAAAAAAAAACTTAATTGAAATTTCATTCGCGTTTTCATTCGGGATTTGTTTTAGACCGTTTTCCCAAACGAGAGAGAGAGAGAGAAAAAGTTCACACGAAATCGTGGAATAAGAAAAAGAAGAAAAAAAACGTAAAAGATTGTTTAAACTTATTCACGAATTTTTTTTTACTCTCCTTGCCTCTCCTCTTCATTTTCTAGTTCCACGTTTTCTTTCTTTGTTTCATTTCTTCATTCTCTTGAATCCAAGGATTAATTTTAATTTTTTTTTTTTTTTGGTAATAATTTTCAGGTTTTCATCAAGTTCCTAGAGGTATCGAACAATTGGAGCGGAGTCATACGTTTCGGTTTCACGAGCAACGATCCGAGCAATTTGAGATATTGTCTCCCGAAATATGCTTGCCCGGATTTAACGAGCAAACCCGGATATTGGGCAAAAGCTTTAGCCGAACGTTTCGCCGAAAGGGACACGGTTTTATACTATTACGTCACGGCAATGGGTGACGTTTATTTCGGTATAAACGGAGAGGAAAAGGGGATTTTTTTATCCGGCGTGGAAACTCGCGGACCCGTTTGGGCTCTCTTCGACGTTTACGGGAATTCGACGGGAATCGAATTGGTCGATCAAAGGGGTTCCCCAATGAACAATTCAATTCGTAGAAATTTCTCGAACGGAAGCGGAGACGTGAGTCCGGACGTGGATTCTCAACTCATGCCATCTCTTCAGTCTTTGTCAATTCAAAACGCAAACCAAAGAATAATAGGATTAGGATTAGGAGGAGTAGGATTAGGAGGTGGATTAGACGTTCATGGCAATTCTAGCGCGTTAACCAGATACCACCAAACCGGAACTGAGTTAACACCGTTTCCTTTTCATAGGTATTTTTTTTTTTTTTTCATCATCATCATTATTATTATTATTATTTTTTTTTTTTTTTTTTGGAATCATTTCCTCCTCTTTTTTTTTTTTTTTAACGTTCATCAACATTTGCTCATCAAACCGTAACTTGATAAACCATAATTTCACGTTGAAATGAATTTCTTTTCATTATTATTATTATTATTATTATTATTATTACTACATTCGAAACGACGTTTCGAAAAAAAAAAAAAAGAAAGGAAGTTGAATAAAAAAAAAATGAGAAGGAATGAATTAATATAACTTTGCTCATCGTTATTAAAAAAAAAAAAAGAAAATTTGTGGTGGTCGCCATGTTTGTTTTAACCGTTCGATTCGAACGAGAATCGAATAATGAACGTTTTTCTTTTTTATTGCGGTCACAAGGTGGCACATTAATTATTTTAAAATTTTATTTTATTTTAATAACGAACGAACGAACGAACGGTCGAACGTTCGAAGTCTGACCCAATTATAATCTCTCAGCAGGATGATAATTAATTGAGGAGGAGGGGGGAGGAGGAGGAGGAGGAGGAGGAGGACATGTTTCTCAGTTGGATTACTTCGATCAAGGTCTTTTAAAACCAACATCTCCCTTTTATTTTATTTTCTTTTCTTTTACTTACCTTTTGTTTTTAATCGGTTTTTTTTTTAAATTTGTCGAATCAGGTGGAAAATAATAATAATAATAATAATAAAATGCGCGATACGCGTCAAGGTTGAATTTATGTCGCGTAATGAGAAAAAAAAAAAAACGCATTCGGGATGTGCGATGCGATTTTAAATTAATTAATTTTTTTTGAATTGTTTCAGGACACGGGGTCGAAACGTTCGTTTGTCGAACGACAGATGTTTGGCAACGCGAACGGATACGGAATTTTGTTTGGGTTACGTTTTCACATCGAAACCCATAATGTTGGGTGAGAAAATAGTCATACAAATCCTCGCGACGGAACCCATGTACGCGGGAGCTTTGGCATTCGGTTTGACGTCGTGCGATCCCGCCAAATTGCAAATATCGGATCTTCCGGAGGATTCCAACGCTCTTTTGGATCGTCCCGAATATTGGGTCGTGCACAAGGACGTCGCGAACAGTCCGCAGAGAGGAGACGAACTCGCGTTCAGCGTTCTCTCGACGGGCGAAGTACAATTTTCGAAAAACGGTGAAGAGCCCGTCGTTTTCATGCACGTGGATCAAACGTTGCAACTCTGGGCATTTTTCGACATTTACGGAACGACTCAAAAGATAAGAATATTGGGTTCGATACCGACGACGTGTTCGACGACGATATCATCGAATCCGTCGTGGCAAAGAATGGTCGATCCGTCGAACAGGAGATCACGCGTAAGTTCCATTTATTCCGGAGAATCGTCACAGTTGACGACGACGACGACGACGACGCCGACGCCGACGCCGACGAGTGGAACCGGACAAAATTCATCCGTTCATCAAAAAAACAATCAAACAAACGGTGTTGCTCACAGACATTGTTGCCTACCCGGGAGTAACAGTTCGACTCCGGCGGAAATTGTTCAATTTCAACCACCCGTGAGTGTTTGTGTTTGTGTGCGTGTGCGTGTGTGTGCGATGAATCAATCGAACACATAATGCACCTTGTCGAAGTCGTCTTGTCCGACATCTTGGACATTTTTATTAATTTTTTTTTTTTTTTTTCTGTTTTTAAATGGCGTGATCAGGTCGGCGGCGGCACTGTACTCGTCGTGAACCTTCCTCCTGCTCATTCGAATTTTATTAATCATCAACAACAGCAACAGCAACGATCACCGTCGAGGCCGTCATCGTCACTCGCGGCTTTCGGAAGCAATCATCATAACACTCACGAATTACACAAATCTCATTCCAACGGTTTCAACAGGTTGCCAACAGTCTCATCGGGAACACTCGTTTCAAATTATACCAATACCTACATAGATGTGAGTAAAATCTTACGATGATCATTTGGGGGGGGGGAGGAGGAGAGGGGAGATATCAGTTTTAAAATAATTAATTTTTTGTTTTTTGTTTTTTTTCCCCCTGCAGCCGATTTCATCGAGTAGTAGTTACCAATCGACGATTGACACGACGAGTCAATGGAGCGACAACGAGTCGGGAACGGCAGGAATCACAAATTCCGAATGTTCCATATGCTACGAACGGTCCATAGACAGCGTTTTGTACATGTGCGGTCACATGTGCATGTGTTACGAATGCGCCGTACAACAGTGGCGAGGTAAGGGAGGCGGTCATTGTCCTCTATGTCGTGCTACGATACGGGACGTTATCAGAACGTATAAATCCTGATAATTTCCCCTTAAATGCGAATTAGAAATTAAAAAACTTGCAATACACACACGCGCACGCGCGCAAACAACGGTAGAAATAATGATGATGATGAAAAAAAAGACTGGAAAACGTGCGTTAATCCAAAAAAAAAAAAAAAAAAAAAATGGCGGCATTCATTTCGTCAAATTTTTTTTTTACTTGTGCGGTCGTTTTGACGTTTGACGCGACCCCACTTCTTTTTCTGCGTCTCTATCAACGTTCGAACGTGGCACCAGTAAAAAAAAAAAAAAAAAAATTATTAGTTAATTACACGTTTTATCGTTATATGCCATCATCATCATCATCATCAATATCATCATGATTTCGTATTATAAGGATTTGTCGCGCGTCGTGTCGTGCGTCCGTGTCGCAATCCTGGATAAAAGCTGGAAAATGGAGAAAATACATTTTTCTTTGCTTTTTGTTCCCGATCGTTTCTCCAGAATATTCCAGGACTGAGAAAATGATAGGCAATAACTTAACAGTAGGAACTCGTTCGATTCGTTTTTTTTTTTTTTTCACAAAGCTTTCTCATTGATATGATAATAATTTTTTTTTTTTTTTTTTAAAATGATGATGATGATGATGACGACGACGGTTGTATGAGTGATGATAATAATAATAATAATAATAATAATAATAATAATAATAATACTGATAATAATAGCAATAAAAACTTGGGTACTCCAGTTAGGTTTAAAAAAAAAAAAAATTATCGTAAGTTGATGTGTTTCGCCCATGCATTTACTTATGCGCGAGCATATTATTTAACCGTGCCAAATTTTTCGAATTTTCACACGCGTTCCACACTGCCCCTTTGCCTTGCACTCCTCCCCCTATCTCCCTCTTCCTCCTCCTCCTCTTCCCTGGATGGATCGGAAAACTACGACGAATTACCACCATCCATCGTCATCATTTCCGACTGCGGGTGGACGTCGTCTTTAATTTTTTTTTTTTTTTTTTTTTTTATGCTCTATGATTTTTTTTTGTTCGTTTCTGAACGTGCACACAATGCAACAACAACAAACAACAAGGCGCCACGATCATCACAAGTGCCTTGATAAATCCTGCACGAAAAACAAAAATAAAAATAAAAAGCTCAAAAATAAAATGCTGCCTTACTAAGTGTGAAACGGGGGGGGGGCGGGGGCGGGGGCGGGAAGAAGAATAAGGGATGAAAATTAAAACTCATTTTTATAATTCGAATTAAATTTAAAAAAAAAAAACAAAAAAAAAAAAAATATTTATAAAAAGAAATTCACGGCCAAAAATTACGTCACAACTGTCTCCCCCTTTCCCTTTACCCCACTCCCCATTCCCCCGTTTCGATAGAGAATATTCTCGAACCAATTATTTCCGGTTTTTGATTTTAAAAACTAAAAAAAAAAAATTTTTTCGAAATGATTCGTGACGTGGAGCCAAAAATAATATAGAAAAAAAAAATTTAGATTCGTGTTGTTTACTATTATTATCACTATTATTATCACTATCATTATTATTATTATTATTATTATTATTATTATTATTATTATTATTATTATTATTCTCATGACTGCACTCATTAATTTTTTGTAATTTTTTTTTTTTTTTCATCGAGTTTTAGAAAAGAGGAAAAAGAAGAAAAAGAGAAAAAAAATAATATTTAGCATATGTATATACGTATGCAGTATTCGTAACGTTTTTAATTAATGACGTCACAAATGATGAAGTTTTCCCACGTAAATACGTCATTCCTTCGTTTTTTTTTTTTTTTCTCTTTTTCTTTTTTTCGTTTTGTTATTTGAATTGTGGAGGAGGAGGAGAAGGAGAGGGATAGGGATGGGGAGAAAAACAACAACGATAGGCGAAACGTGATGATGATGATGATGATGATGATGATGACGATTTAAGTTTAAGTTGGCAGAATTGTTTTTTTTTTTATTTATTTATTTTATTATTGCCTCCCCTGTTTTCTGTCTATCGTTTGTTGTCATTTCTTTTTCTTCCTTTTACTTTTTTCTTTTCTTTTTTTGTTTTCTTAGTCGAGTGTTCAACAATCTGGTTTGCGTGTCTTAAATAAACAAAGAGACGCGATATGGAGAAGAAAGAGAGAGACAGAGAGAGAAAGAGATAGATAGAAAGAGAGAGAGAGAGAAAACGTTTTGTACGATAGATATACGTTTGTTTTCCTTTTCCTTTCTTCCTCTCTCTCTCTCTCTCTCTTATGTCGTCATCTTTCTAAACTCTCTATCTCTCTCTCTCTTTCTCTCTTTCTCTCTTTTTACAAAAAAATAAATTAATAATATTACGGAATGGATTGTTAAGGATTGTTATTATTGTTGTTGTCGTTGTTGCTGTTGCTGTTGTTGTTTCGTTTTTTTTTATTTATTGGAATTTGTACATTTTTTCTTTCCTTATTATTGAAAACTATGCCGCAGCAGACGACAACAGCATTTTTTCAATCTCGCTCATAAATATTTATACATACATATATATATATTTATAAATACATGCATATATAAATTATTGTATACAAGTGCATATATATATATTTATTATTATTATTATTATTATTATTATTATTTTAAGGGTTAAAAAAAAATTTTTCTCTTTTCTTTTCTTTTTTATGTTTGTCTTATTTGTCGTAATAATAATAATGATAATATCATTCATTTATGTATAAATTTTTTTATTTTTATTTTGTCATTTATTTTGTTTGTTTGTTTGTTTGTTTGTTTGTTCGTTTGTTTGTTTGTGAATATCTAGTCAGTCATGTCATTAGAAGAATAAGAAAATGTTTTTTTTTTTGTTTGTTCGTTTCGAACTTTCCTCCCCTTTTAGAAAAAAAAAAAAAAAAAAAAAAAAATTGTCGGTATTAACAAAACTAAATCAGGGAATATTATTGTAATCATCATCATCATCATCGTCGTCGTCTCCATTATTATTATTATTATTATTACTATTATTCCGTTATTATTTATTATTATTATTAATTTGTTATTATTTAGGAGAAAGAGAGGGAAGGGAGGAGGAGGAGATTGATGAGTGGCGGTTTAAGGTGTGTCTGTGTGTGTGTATGCGCGTGCACAAGCTAGTCTGCAAAATCGTTTTTATTTTAATTTAATTTAATTTAATTTTTTTTTTTTGTTTCAATTGTGTATGTGTGTGTTCGAAGATGGAGTATTTCCCTCTCTCTCTCTCTCTCTCGTGATATATATATATGTAAAAAAAATGGATCGCCGAAACCGTGATGATGTCGATGATGATGATGATGATGATGATGATATAATAAATGGGTGATCATATATATAAAAAATGATGATAATAATAAATTAATCAATAATTATTTGTAATTAGTCGTAATAATTATATAGATTGTAAGTTTTTTTTTTTTTTTTTTTTAATTATCGTAATTAATTTTTTTCATACGGCTGACAGTACCAAAACTTGTAAATTATTTTTTTATATAAAGTATAGTACTCTGTCGTTATTCATTACCATAGTAATAGTAATTAAACTCTTATTATTATTAATTATTATAGTTTATAAAAATGGCTTTTTGTTTTACATTGAAAAAATAAATAAATAAATATATATATATATACATACATGCATAAACGAATACGTTATCCGCCATCTTGTTTTATTTTGAAAAAAAACAATTTTTCTTCCTATCAAAGCCTCCGGTATACGCATGATGAAAAGGAGAAGAAATGACGTCGACGATGCCGTCTTGATTAAAACGTTTTTGTTGTTTTTTATTTTTTTGAAAACCCGCGAGCGTTGTGAACTTTTTGTTTATTTTGTAAATTATAAAAAAAAAAATTAATTTATTTTATTATTTATTATTATTATTATTGTTATTATTAATATATACATATAATAAAAAATGACAAAAAGTAAAAAAATTGATTTGATCGAAGAATTAACAACGTATAAAAATGATTTTCAAGTATGGCCTCTTATAAATGCAATACCGGAAGAACCGAAAAGAAAAGAAATGGTCGTGAAACCTCCACCACCTTTCGTACACATGGATATACAATCTCATGCACCTTATAGACCTGGTGCAAGAATTCCATTCGATTTATATATAGAACGTAAACCAATAGTTCGTAGGGATCCGAGAGAATGCATAGTGACGTTGGAAAAACCAAATTCAGGTTTGAAATCGGGTAAATTGATAAAAATGTCGACGGTATTACCGCCGAATTTAAAATTAAACGAAATAGACTCGGATGAGGATTTGAAAACGATCATTAAATACACGTATTCGAGAGCATCGAAGATATATTTAGACGAAGCCGCCATGAAAATATCTAAAAAACCGAAACCACCGAATAGAGTCGTGGCAGAAGGTAACGAAATATCATATAAAGCAAATCTTTATCCGGTGTTGCCACCCGGTTGGGTCGGTGCTTCTTGTCATTGGGATTGTTTGCAAATCCGTCATTTGGGTAATCCTGATAAAAATTATTGGAAAAGGAGAAATTTAAAAACTGGTTCTCATTGTCCTTGCAATCCCGTACCCGATTTATTACCCAAAGAAATGAGATACGAAATTAAAGATCTTATTTTGGATGATAATTTAAGACTTCCATATGACGTCACTAAAAAAGGATATTGTGGATATAGGCCGATATGTGCAAAAGGTGTACCACTTGAGAAAAATTAAATAACGTAATTAATTTTTTATTTTATTTTTTTTTTTATACAACAAGGAAAAGTAAAGATTCATTCGATTTATTTTAAATAAACCGAATAAATTAAAAATCTCTCTCTCTCTCTCTCTTTCTCTCTTTTTCTTTCTTTTTTGTTGTTGTTGTTGTTGTTGCGGGTAAGTAATATTTGTTTTTAATAATTTGATTTATTTAATTAAAATAACAAATTATAAATAAAAACTATTACGTAATAATAATTATTCAAATAAAAATAATATATTTCGCAAAACTGCGTAACGTTTAGCAGACGACGAATTTATTTTTTGTGTTCAAGAAGGCTGTGACTAATTTTCAGTTTGCGGTCTAGTTACAAAATTGGTAACGTGTTCCACTGTAGATTTTTTTTTTTAATAAAAAAAATTTATTTTTTGGTAATGCTTTCTGTGTGTAATTTAATTTTCCGACATTGATAATTTATAAGGAAACGACCATTTTTTATTAATTTAGGGTAAATAAATTAAATAATTAAATTTTTAATTAAATATTTTTTTAAAATTCTTATTAAAGAAAAGGAGAAGAAGGAAAAAAATCCAATCATTTTTTTTTTTTTTTAATTATTAATTTTTTTAAAACCTTTTACAAATTATGACATTTTGAATGATTGAAATTTTTATTTATTTATTTAAAAAATAATTACGTTTATTTTAAAATACAATATGGTTTTTTTTAATTTAATTTTTTTCATTATTCATTATTCGTTCACGTGTACGATTTTGTCATGAATTTTTTTGTATTCGAGTAATATAAAATGCATGATGAAAATTGTCAGCGTTGCAAATAATTGAATTTTTTTTTATTTTATTCTACGTAATCATTTTTCTTATTACTTTAGATAATGGAAAGAGTACCAGATAAAATAGATTTTTCTTTAGAAGAGGAAAAAATAAGTAAATATTGGAGAAAATCAGAAACATTTAGAAAAAGTTTAGATGAATCGAAAAGTAGGAAAAAATTTACTTTTTTCGATGGTCCACCTTTTGCAACCGGCATGCCACATTATGGCCACATCCTTGCTGGTACTATTAAAGATATAGTCACTAGATTTGCTCATCAGAGTGGTCATCATGTTAGTAGAAGATTCGGTTGGGATTGTCACGGTTTACCTGTCGAATATGAAATTGATAAATCATTAAACATTACCGGTCCCAGCGATGTTCATAAAATGGGAATCGATAAATATAATGCACAATGTCGATCGATTGTCATGAGATATTCAAATGAATGGGAAATTATTATGGAACGATTGGCAAGGTGGATAGGTTGGTTGGTCCAGTCATGTTTTATTATTTTTCAATTTGAATGTTCATCATGAATTATCAACACTTAAAACTTTTTTTTTTTTTTTTTTTAGATTTTGAATATGATTACAAAACATTATACCCATGGTACATGGAATCAATATGGTGGGTTTTTCACGAATTATTCGTTAAAGGACTCGTATATAAAGGAGTTAAGGTTATGCCTTATTCGACAGCATGCAACACTCCTTTATCAAATTTCGAATCTGGTCAAAATTATAAAGAAGTTGTCGATCCACAAGTGATTGTCGGTTTTCCTCTGGATACTGATCCGTCTATAATGCTTGTCGCATGGACGACCACACCCTGGACTCTACCCAGCAATTTGGCAACTTGTGTTCATCCGGAACTTATTTACGTCAAAGTGAAATGTATGAAAGTTTTATTAATTTTTTTTTTTTTTTTTTGAAAATTCACTTTGGTGTGTGTGACATTCATTCATTCATTCATTGTTATCTTTTTTTTTTTTTTTAAATGTAAAATATGAAATGTGTCACATTCCGAGAAAATTTTATATAATATGATAAATGTTTGTTTGCTTTTTTTTTCTATTTCTATTGTCATGCTATTGTCATTTAAATTATCATATTTACACTTTTTTTTTTATTTATTTTTCTAGCTTTGAAAAACAATCAAGTGTACATAGTAATGGAAGCAAGACTTTGCATGTTATTCAAAAAAGAAAACGATTATGAAATATTAGATAAGTTTCCTGGTGAAAAATTAGGAGGCCTTGGTTATGAACCACTTTTCCCATATTTCTCCGAGGTAAAAGAATGAAAGAATAAATGAATAAAGTTTTTTTTTTTTTTTTATTTGTTTCATCATATTTGAAATGTTGAAATTTAATATTTTCTCCTTTGTTAACTTTCTCCTTGTAATTATTATTATTATTTTGATACGCCTATTATGAGGTTATTAGATAAGAAACCTTGATGCATTCATTTTTTAATTTAAAAAAAAAAAGAAAAAAATTTCTAAGTTATAATTTTATTTAAATTATTTATTTATTTATTTATTTTTCAGATGAAATCGAAAGGAGCATTTAAAATTTTAGTCGATAAATACGTTTCCGATGATGCCGGTACGGGAATAGTTCATCAGGCGCCATATTTCGGAGAAGACGATTACAGGGTTTGTTTGTCGGCCGGAGTTATAAGCCGCGATCAGAAAATTGTTTGTCCCGTCGACGACAGCGGTAGATTCGTCAAACCCGTCGTCGATTTCGAGGGAGTTCACGTCAAAGACGCGGATAAAAAAATAATAAAATATTTGAAAGAAAAATGTCCGAAAAGATTGATCGAAGCGAGTTCCGTTAAACACAGTTATCCATTTTGCTGGCGTTCAGATACTCCTCTCATTTACAAGGCTGTGCCATCGTGGTTCGTACGAGTCGAACCCATGATTGAAAATTTATTGGAGAGCAGTCACGCGACTTATTGGTAAATTTATTAATACTTTTTTTTTTATTCGAATCGTTTTGATGATGTCAATTAAATTTATTTTCTTCAGGGTACCTGATTTCGTTAAGGATAAAAGATTTGGAAATTGGTTAAAAGGAGCGAGAGATTGGGCAATCAGTAGAAATCGATATTGGGGAACCCCGATTCCCCTTTGGGTATCCGATGATGGACAGGAAGTTGTTTGCATCGGAAGCATAAAACAATTAGAAGAACTCACACGTGAAAAAATAACGGATTTGCATCGGGAACAGTGAGTTGTTGTTTTCGATGAGTTTTTTTTTCTTTTTGTTTCAAAATATCGAATTTGAAATCGTTTCTTCTTACAGCATCGATAAACTCGAAATACCATCAGTTCGACCTGGAAAACCTCCGCTGAGGAGAGTGTCGGAAGTTTTCGATTGTTGGTTCGAATCCGGTTCCATGCCTTACGCACAAGTTCATTTTCCATTTGGGAGATCATGCGAAATAGATTTTCACAAAGGATTTCCCGCGGATTTCATCGCGGAAGGAATCGATCAAACGAGAGGATGGTAAATAAAATTCAACGGTTTTTTCGCGATTACGATTTTATTTATTTCATTTTGTTTTTTTGTATTTTTCAAAGGTTTTATACTCTGATTGTCATTTCCACCGCTTTGTTTAACAAGGCTCCGTTTAAAAACTTGATAGCGAACGGTTTGGTTCTCGCTTCGGACGGTCAGAAAATGTCGAAGAGAAAAAAAAATTATCCGGATCCGATGGAAATAGTCAACAAATACGGTGCGGATTCTTTGAGATTGTATTTGATCAATTCGCCCGTCGTGAGAGCGGAAAATTTAAGGTTCAAAGAAGAAGGGGTTCGCGACGTACTTAAAGATGTTTTGTTACCCTGGTATAACGCGTACAGGTATCTGGCACAAAGTTTGGAAAGATTGGAATCGGTGAGTCAGTCTATTCTTCGTTCCCCCAAGACTCTTGTCGCATTTATTTTTTTTTTAACAAAATTTTGAATCGCGCGCTTATTCTTACAGGAGGGCAAACCTTATGAATACAATCCGGAAGTGGATCAACCCTCGTCCAACACTATGGATCGATGGATCAAATCGACAACTCAAACGATGGTGTCAACCGTTTGGAGAGAAATGGCCAAATTTCACTTGTACAAAGTTGTACCCATATTGGTGGATTACATCGATCAACTCACGAATTGGTACATAAGAATGAATCGGAAGCGTTTAAAGGTTTGTGTTTGTTTTGCGATGGTTGTTGTTGTTGTTGTTGTGGTTGTTGCGGTTGTTGAAAAGTAAGGAAATTTCATTTTGTTACAGGGAGACAACGGGGAAAAAGATTGTTTGATTGCCGTCAATACTCTTTTTAGCGTTTTATTTACATTCGTACGAATAATGGCTCCCTTCACTCCTTTCCTCTGCGAATTGATGTATAAAAATTTAAAGAGAAAAGTGAGTCGCGAGTCGTCCGCCAAAACCGCCGACAGTATACATTTCCTTAATTTGCCCAAACCCGTGACTTCGGACATTGACGAAGTCATAGAGAGGAGAATCAAAAACATGCAGTATGTTATTTCTTCAGGAAGAATAATTAGAGATAAAAGGACTGTTCCGATGAAGGTGAGGTATTTGACATTGTTCGAGAGGATTTCCGGTTATCGTCGTCAGTATCATTATTATTATTAATTTTTTCCTTTTCAGTACCCGCTTCCAGAACTCATCGTCATACACAAGGACAAACAATATTTAGAAGATTTGGAAGCCGTTAAAAATTACATATTAGAAGAATTGAACGTTAAAAATTTAGTTTTATCGACGGATTGCGACAAGTATAAAGTGTCGCTAGCAGCCGACGTAGACCATAAAGTATTAGGAGCTCGTTTGAAGGGTGATTTTAAATCCGTGTTGCAAGCGGTCAAGGTGAGAAGGGAAAATGTAGAAGAAAAGAAAAGAAAAGAAAAACGCGAGTGAAAATCTATCAGTGTCGCCACCTTAACAAAATTTTTTTTTTTTTTTTTACAGCAACTCACGGATTCTCAAGTTCAAGAATTTCTTAAAAATGGTAAATTACAAGTATTGGGTCACGTGTTGAGCATAGACGAAGTTTTCATCGCGTATCGTTTCGAAGAAGGTTCCTTCGACAGCGAAAGATACGAAACTCTGGGAAGTAAAGAGGTGAAGAAAAACAGATCTCTTCTCTCTCTCTCTCTCTGTCTCCTCTCTCTCTCTCTCTCCCTTTCTCTCCCTCTCTCTCTCTTTCGATTGTTTCGGTTTTTTTTTATTAATAAAATTTCGTTTCAGGTTGCTTTAATGTTCGACATGAATCGGGATGCATCCATGTTGGACGAAGGTTTAGCAAGAGAGGTTGTGAATCTCGTACAAAAATTACGGAAAAAAGGACAGCTCGTACCCACGGATCCTATAACCGTATTATATAAGATAACTCCCGAGGATTCGGATCTTTCGTCCGTCGTCGCGACGCAAAAAGAATACATTGAAAACCTTTTGAAAGTTCCTCTCCGACCGTGGAAAGATGATGATACTACGGGAAAGGAGAGAGATGTGGTCGTCGAAGAATCGTCACAGGTGAGTGAGACACGATAGGAAGAGGAAGAGGAAGTGGAGGACGACGATAAAAATTTTGTCAATTGTTTACAGTTGAAAGGATCTCCCGGTTTGTTACAATTGAAAATCACGAGAGGATTTTGTTCGGATTGGATAAAAAAATGCGGGGATGGAACGACGATTGGAAAATCATCTTCATCGGGAACGATGGTCGAATCCGTTAAAAGGAAAAGCACGACACCGAGTACTCAAGCGGCAAAAGTCGTCAAAAGCGACATTCCTCAAATTCCAAATTCTCAAATGAAAGCACGTGAAAGGGAAAGGAAAAAATCTCTGTCGAAAGATCACAAGAGGATGACGCATCAGCACCAGCAGCAGCAAGCGAGCGGAACGACCGGAAATGTCGTAGACAAAGAATCGTCATTGATAAAAATCGCAAACGGTCATTTTTCCATGACTCCCTGCGTGAGGTGAACATGAAAGGAATACAAATTTTATCATCATTATCATTATCATTATTATCATTAATCTTTCGCGTTCGTTTCAGGCACGTACTCGTCAAATTTCAAGATTCCCTACTCAAAGACAGCAAACAGAAAAAATTGAAAAATTCCGAATGGATATTCCCGTTGGAAAATCCCGTGGGAGAAAACGAATTGAAAAATTTTCATAATTTAAAAAATGAAATCCTGGAATTTTTACAAATGGCGGACAATTCTTCGGACGATTTAAATTTTCACATCGTTTCGAATGATGATGATGATGATGATAAGGGGGGGAAAAATATTAAAAAAAAATTGGTGGAAATTCAAGGATCGGAAGATTTTTCCAAAAGGATAATTTACGTTTGTCGTAAAGGTTGTGACGTCACGAAAATAGAATTTCCAAATGCGTACGTCGAACCGTCGAATTTTCCAGATCAACCGTGAGTTTTGGTTTTTTGGTTTCTTTTTTTGATTTTTTCTAAAACTTTGAGAATTTTCCTTCTTTTCCCTTTTTCTTCTTCTTATTCCAGGTTTTTGAACGTGAATTACGAGAAAAGAAAAGGGATAGTTTTCTTATGTCAACCCGATGGGATTTTACTCAAAGCGGATCGAATTATCGAATCCATAGGAAAACTTTATAAAATAAATAATAAAAAAATAGTATTGTCAAGACCTTTGACGGGTCCTAAAAATGAGATTTTGGTGTCCGTTCATTGAAATTCATTATTATTATTATTATCATTATCGTCAATTGTACATTTTTTAATTTTAATTTTATTATAATTTAAACTCGTATTTTTTTTTTTTTCAAGTCGTCGCAAGTAATTTTTTCATTTAATTTTTTTTTGTTTGTTTAAAGGATTGTTGGTTGATCCAGCAAAAACGAGAGGGAAAATGAATGAAGATGATAACGTTTTTATTTTATTATTTTGTTTGTTTGTTTGTTTGTAAAGTGAATTGTCAAGTGAAAGTTAAAAAAAAAAATACGGTGTAAGTGAATGAATGATGATTTGAGTTTTATTATAACGAATAAAAGAAATTTATCGTGATTATTCTATGTTGTTGTTTGTTTGTTTGTTTGTTTTTCCTTTTTTTTTTGTTTTGAAAAATGTTCAAAATGATATTTTTGAAGAGTGCGGGAGTTGTGGCGGGGTCGTGTAATCTAGCTAATTGGAGGCCGGGAATTTTAAGGATTGGCTCTCTGGTGGGGTCAGACCCCACCTGTCTGATACATACGAGCAAATTTTTCGATATTTTTAGTGAAAATTTCAAGTTTCCATTTCGGCAGACATTTCAATCATCCCTCTCCGGTAAGCCAAAACTTTAACCGTTCCACACGATTCTCTTTGGGAAGATGCGCCCTAATGTCCGTTCCGCCGTCATCTCGAAGATGAAAACGCATCTCCCAGGACGTTCGGCAGTCCCTTTCGGAAGTGTCCTCCGGTCCTTCGCTGGTGGGAGAATGGGGACGGAAAGCTCGAGGATTTAGACTAAACCTTCGCCACCTGAATAAAGGGTTATTAAAGAAGAAAGTGAAGACGTTTATTGACCGCATTCTCTCCTAACGGGTAACAAGGACTAAACGGGGGGTAAGACAGATAGAGGACGGATAGGAAGACCACCGATCTTCTATAAATTCGAAAGAAGAGTCACCGACGCGAAGCTTTCGTCCATCGCCGCACCTTGCTAATCGAAGACGTAGTCGTCGTCATATGCATCCTCGTCTTCGTCCTCCTCCTCCTTCCGACGACGACGTTTCCTCTCCTTCGGCCGATGACGAAGGTCCGGAACCGCTCCTTCATCCTCCTCTCCTTCCTCATCAGCGGGATATTTATTTCTGTTAAACCTAATCCCACTTGCCCGGAGCATACGACGACGAACTCCGGACTAATTAATTTTTGGTTTTACTACGATTTCAGGACTCACCTGTTGCTGCCGTTTGCGTCGATCCATTCGTACGACTTCTAGTATCCGGGAACGAAGATTCCTCGTGCATTTTGTACGACATTCGCGGGGGGAGAAACGTTCAATGTTTCAAACCTCATTCGTCAGACATAAGACCGATAAGGTTTTCACCGAGCGCTTATTACCTCCTGACCCGAGGATACGATAACAAACTCGTCTTGACGGATTTACAAGGTTTTTATTATTATTATTACTGTTAACGTCGTGACAATAATGATGAATGATGACGTCATTAATCGGTTTGTTTTTTTTGTCTCCAGGGGATTTGACGTTGCCGCTTCCCAGCGTCGTCGTCGCCGCTCATCACCAAGACAAAGTTATTTCCGGAAGATGGCATCCGACAGAATTTTCATTTTTGAGCACGAGCGCCGACAAGACGTGCACTTTATGGGCTTTACCCCCCATTTGAAACTACCGTAAAACACCGAGCGTTAGGATTTCGCGAATAAGAAATAATGTTTTCTCTCTCTCTCTCTCTCTCTCTCCCCTCACGTGAGCTCTCTTAAATTTGTAAATATTATTATTATCATCATTGTCGGGCTATTGTACTCACCGTCATAGTATTTCCAGAACTTGAAAATAATTTTAAAAAGAAAAGAGCATCGTAATATCATAATCACCATCTAGTCAGAAATTTCTAGAATTATTTTTCTTATTATCGGAAAAGTGTCATCGCCACTAACCGAACGAACGCTTTTACCGCTTTTCGGCAATAAAATATAAATGAAAGACGAAGAATTGGAGGAAATCGTTAGGTAGAGCATGAAAAAGAGAAAAAGGTCGGAAAAACCGGGAGGGGAAAAAAAACGGGAACGTGTTCGTATTTATATACATAAATTTGTAAATTTTTTCGTTAGGTTGTCACACGGATCGAACGCCAGAACGCATCGAACGTCGTCGCGCGCGGAATCCAAAAGTTTTTCTATTTTATTTTTTATGTTTCGTTTTCAGCAGTTATTATCACAAAAAAAAATGAGGTAGTGGCAGGGGAGTAGTGGGGGCCGGGAGTTAGTGGCGTGCTCCTGTAATCCAGCTACTTGGAGGCCGGGTGCAGCAGATGACTCTGATCGTGTAATTCGGATCCTACTTGTTGCTCATTGTTTTAAAACGGTCGGCGGGAGCACCTCGGGGTCCCACCTAGTGTTTTCGTCGGCCAACAGGGTAATTAGAGATCATTTTCCTCATTCAAGAATCATAACATATAATTTGTCGGTAGGATAGGATATTATTTGTAGGTAGTCCCTTAGGGCACCAAGGAACCATAAAACATACTGGCAAAAACAGTGAAAAAAAAAAAAAATCCTTACCAATGAATATGGATAAATCAAGAACTCCTGCTATATCCTTTATTAATGAAGACAAAATCTGCGTAGGCCAAAAAAAAAACCTGGACATTTAGAGGATTTGTTACTTTAGGAAAAAGAACAATGAACGACGGGAAAAATACTATTATAACATATTTTGCCATATTTTTAGTGTGAAATTCTATTTTAATTTTAATTTGAAGGTAGAAATAGCTCGGGGGGTCTTCGTGCGGGACGCTGGCCATTAGGGGTACGCCCTTTCGTTGGGGAACCGAAACTGGTAGGATGGGGGGAACCTCCGCGTGCCAGCCGGGAACGAACGGCTCCGCCAGTAGCTCTCGGTAGGCATGGGGAAGTTTCTCCAAATTAATTTAAACAGGTGCAGGGGGCTCAGGACCTTTTGCTAAACTTGATAGGGACGTGGAGCATCGAGGTCGCGATGATCTTGGAGCCTTACGTCTTTCCGTCAGGGGGAGGGGGTCGTCGCGCCGGTACTCGGTTCGCATCCGAGGTCGGCGTGGCCGCGATACTATTCTCGAGCTCGGTCAAAACGCCGAGGCCTCGAGAGCTGTCCCGGGGAGAGGGTTTCGTTCTGGTGGGATGGGGAGACACGGTACTGGCGTCGGTTTACGCGTCGAGCGCAAGCGGCCGAAATACTGGTGGACGGACGAGATAGGGTCGGTTCGGGGATAGGAAACGGGAACTCCTCCGCCGTGGAGGACATACAAAGAAATCGTGACCACGCAATTTGCGTTTTACTCGATGGTAAGTAGGTAGAACGCGGATGAAACAACAGAAAATTTTATAAACTTTTTACATTTGTCTTTACTAATTGTTATTATTTTTTTTTTCTTTCATTTAGGAAAGGACCAGTAAAGACGAGCCGGTACATTCAGGAGTGACAGTATCAGACAGCGAAACAAGATGATGTCTACCTTTTGGAGAGGAGAGGAGAGGTGACAAAAACGTTTCTGTTATATTTGTCAAATAATTTAAATAATGGCTACGATTTCGTTTTGGAAAAAAGTACGAAAAAGCGAGAAGGCAAGAAGGGGAAGGGAAGGAGGGAAAGGCGAGAAAGAGGAATAATTAGAAAAAATCAGGTTCGGTTGTTTGTCGTCATAGAAGGAACCTCGTTTTAAACCTGTAATTAAATTTTGAGTGATGATTGAACGTTTGATTTATATTTGGCCACGTTTATATTATATACATATATATGTATAAAATATATGTATGTATATTTTTCTTAATCGTGACACATAAACTACTAAATATGCCACAAACGATTATTAAGTTTTCCGTTTTTTTTTTTTCAAATTTATAATGATGATAATAATAATAATAATAATATTTGTATTTATTCTCTGTATTACAATATATGTATTTATTCTCTCAAATATATTATTTAAAAAAAAAATAAAATTTGTTTTTTTTTTTCCCATCATGCATGTTTGGTTATATCATTCATTTATTCCCATAAAAGAAAAACTTAAAAGAAATTTTTATACAAATTGGGTTATGCAACTGGCAACACGCAAAACCCGACAAATTGCATAACTCAAAAAAGTAAGGCGAACAGAAAAAATCGAAAAAATTCAAAAATCCTTAAAAATTGTGGTTATGCAACTGGCAATACGCAAAAACACGACAAATTGCATAACTCAAAAAAGTAAGGAAAACGAAAAAAAATCAAGAAAAATGAGTGAAAAATTGGTTCCGAGTATCAGTAAAACATAATATTCAGGAGGTCTCAATTTTTCGATAGTTTCGTTTCGCTTCAACGCCTTGCATTTAGAGTATATGCAATTTTCAATACAATTTTTAACCAATGGCGTGCTTTGTATACATAATGAGAAATTAATGGCGCTCGCCATTCTTACTCGTGATTGGTCAGAAAAAAAATCCCATATTTTTCATGTTTAACTTATGTATTAATAGGAATAAAATTTAAATTATGAAATAACTATGTTTTAAAGCAAAATTTTGTATATGTATATATTAAATGTGACCAAGGATGGAGAAACGAATTTAAAATAAAAAAAAAAAAAATAATAATAAGGATAATAAATAAATTTTATTTAATTTTTATTTATTTATTTATTATTATTATTATTATGTAAAAATATTTATTCGTGGCCGTATTATAAAAGCATGTTCGGTTGTTCATCTCGTTGTGTGTTATGTTCGGTTCGTTCTTTATATTATAAGTCGCAAATTAATACTAAAATTAATTTACAGTTTATTTCTTGTGACGTGTTAAATGCTTAGCATAGACTTTTTCACAAAATAAAAGTAAAGGTTATTTTAACTCGCGAACAAACACTTAGAAACTATCACTAAACCAAAACTAAAATTAAAGAAACGGATAAGAATTCAATATAACAAACAAGTATCGAAAGAACGCGTGCAAAGCTGTGAAGCTTCCCTTTATAACCTCAATTTTTCATT